GCAGTATCTTGATTGAATACTGTAAGAATAAAAACAAAAAGAACTATAGATAATGCTATAACCTAGTTAGTAAAATTGTTTCCTACAGGGTTAGCAATTCTGAAACAACTTTGTGTATATCATACTGAAATAGACTTGAGGTTATGAAAGACTAATTTCTCACTCTTGGAAGAAGTTATACATAAAGGAAGAAGTCTTCAGTGAACCCTGTGGTTTTGGATTAGAATCAGATGTATCAATATGAACTCATGGTTTTTAGATATATACCCCCAAAGATACATAATATAGCCATGTGTATATACATGGGTTAGTACACTACGTATATTTCTCAGCTCTGTCTGCAGCCTAGAAGGAATACCACTCCAATAACAATGGCCACCTCTGCTGCCCAGATCTTGTTCTCTAAATACCATTTGCCAATAAAAGGCTTCCTAGAGAAGCAGTTAATTACAGGGCTGAGCAGGAAAAATGCTAGATGAGCCTGGAATATATTGTGGTTCCTCAAAGTAGGTCAATGCAAAAACAGATGTTGGCTTGTTGAAAAAATAAGGGAGCCAACCTGAAGGATCTCCTGAAGGTCAAAGATGCAACAATTTGAGCTACAAGATAAATAATGATAGTATTGAATTTTAACCCATCGAATAAAACAGGACTATCAAACAGCAGACCCTGGGCTAAATTTGGCCTGCCATCTATTTTTGTAAATAAAGTTTTATTGGAAAACAGACATGACTATTTGTTTTTGCAGCCTTTTTTTTTTTTTTTTAATAGTCCCTCTAAGGAACCCTTTTAGGTATTTTTTTCTTAATTGCCGCAACCCACCACAAAATTTTATTACCACAGATATACTATATATCAATTTATGTACCATATATGTATCTATACTTTCTTCATAAAAAGAGTAAGACCTTCACACCCACAAGAACCAGTTCTTAACCCCATGGAAGTGATGTTGCTCCCAATGAGAATGCATGGTTTACATATCATCAATGGCTGATTTGGAATTATAACCATAAAGTTGAGTAGCTGTAACAGAGGTTGTATGGCAGGCAAAGCTTAAAGTATTTACTGTCTGTCACTTTACAGAAAAAAAATTGTTATTAAAATACCCATGGGGGCATCTGGGTGGTTCAGTTGGTTAAGCATCTGGCTCTTGATTTCGGCTCAGCCCATGATCTCACAGTTTGTGGGTTCGAGCCCCACATTGGGCTCTATGCCGACAGCACAGAACCTGGTTGGGGTTCTCTGTCTCCGTCTTTCTCTGCCCTTCCCCTGTTTACTCTCTATTTCTCTGTCTCTCAAAAATGAATAAACATTTTTTAAAAATCTTAAAATTCCCATGAATTCAACTGTATAAACAATGGATTAAATAAAAGAGAGGGGTGCCTGGGTGGTTTAGTTGGTTGAGCATCTGACCTTTGATTTCCACTCAGGTCATGATCTTGCGGTTCGTGGGGTGGAGCCCTGAGTTGGGCTCTGTGCTGATAGCACGGTGGAGCCTGCTTGGGATTCTGTCTTTCTTTCTCTCTCTGCCTCTACCCTGCTTTCACGTGCACTCTCTCTCTCAAAATAAATAAATAAACTTTAAATAAGAGAGAAAATATAGTTCTTCCTATGGCCAAAATAAAGACAAGAATTAAGTGTTTGTGAGGATGTGAAGAAAAAAGAACTTTTGTGCACTATTGGTGGGAGCATAAATTAGTATAGCCACTGTGAAAACAGTATGGAAGATTCCTCAAAAAATTAAAAATAGAAATACCATATGATCCAGTAATTCCAGTAGTAGGTATTTACCCAAAGAAAACAAAAATTCTAAGAGATATACAAAACCCCATGTTTATTACAGCATTATTTACAGTAGCCAGTATGGAAGTAACCTAAGTGTCCATTGATAGATGAATGGATAAGGAAGATGTAGTATATTTACACACACAGACTATACTATACAGCTATAAAAAAGGATGAGATCTTGCTACTTGCAGAAACATGGATGGACCTAGAGGGTATTATGCTTTTTTTTTTTTTTAATGTTTGCTTATTATTGCCAGAGAGAGAGTCAGAACATGAACAGGGGAGGGGCAGAGAGAGAGGGAGACACAGAATCTGAAGCAGGCTCCAGGCTCTGAGCTGTCAGCACAGGGCCCAACGTGGGGCTTGAACTCACCAACCTTGAGATCATGACCTGAGCTGAAACCAAGAGTTGGATGCTTAACTGACTGAGCCACCCAGGTGTTAAGCTAAGTGAAATAAATCAGACTGAGAAAGACAAATACCATATGATTTCACTCATGTGAAACATAAAAAAGCAAATGAACAAAAAGCAGAACCAGACCTAAAAATACAGAGAATAAACTGATGGTTGCCAAAGGAAAAAGAGGTAGGGGGGTAGGCATACTAGGTGAGAGGGAATGAGGGATACAGGCTTCCAGTTATGGATAAGTCATGGGAATAAAAGACACAGTATAGGGAATATAGCCAATGATACTATAATAGTGTTGTATGGTGACAGATGGTAGCTACACTTGTGGTGAGCATAGCATAACATATAGAGAAGTTGAAACACTATGTTGTACACTTGAAACTAATGTAACATTGTATGTCAACTATACTCAAAAAATTAAAAATTAAAATTAAAAAAATTTCCTTACGGTAGAATTCCAATCAATAAATGTAGAAGAAAAGAGGAAATAGGAGGATCACATAAGGCAAATAGTACAGTAGCAACTGTTTCAGGCAAGGCCTAGCAGTGGATGCTAAAATTAGTGAATGAACATTTGAGGAGAAACAGGATCTGCATGGAGTCAAAGCATCTCCCCTAAAATACATATTGACAACAAAGAGAAGCTTTGTAGTAACCTTACAGTGGAAAAACGTGGCAAGCACCAGCTTATCTAAGGAATTGAGGTAAACATCATCAGTAATAATGCATATTGACATCCTTGATATGATGAACTAAGAAGAACAAATACAATTTTTGTGGTATACTTGCCAAAAATGCATGATCTCACTCCAATTATGGAAAAATGTGTTACAAATCCAAATTGAGGGACATTTTACAAAAGAAGTGATTAGTACTCTTCAAAAGTATAGCATCATATATTCTCTCTCACTCTCTCCCTCTCTGAAAATAAACATTTTTTTAAAAAGACTTTAGGAGCACCTGGGTGGCTCGGTCGGTTAGGCGTCCGAGTTCGGCTCAGGTCATGATCTCACGGTCCGTGAGTTCGAGCCCCACGTTGGGCTCTGTGCTGACAGCTCAGAGCCTGGAGCCTGCTTGGGATTCTGTGTCTCCCTCTCTCTCTGCCCCTCCCCCGCTCATGCTCTGTCTCTCTCTGTCTCAGAAATAAATAAATGTTAAAAAAAAAATTTAAGAAGACTTTAAAAAAAGGGGCGCCTGGGTAGCTCATTCAGTTGAGCATCCAACTCTTGGTTTCTGCTCGGGTCATGGTCTCACTGTTCATGGGATGGAGCTTCAGATTGGGCTCTGTGCTGATAGCACAGAACCTGCTTGGGACTCACTCTCTCCCTCTCTCTTCCCCTCCCCTACTGGCTTGCACTCACGTGTGTGCGTTCTCTGTCTCTCAAAATAAATAAACATTAAAAAAAAAAAAAGACTTTCAAAAGTATACCATCATGAAAGACAAAGAAACTGTTACAGAGATTGAAGTTGCTAATGAGAATTAAATGCAACTATCCTACCCTGGATAGGATCTTGAAACAGAAAAACTTCAGTGAGAAAACTGGTGAATTTTGAATAAGTAGTTTACAGGGGGTACTAATGTTAATTTCCTCTTTCTTATTGTACCAAGATTATACTAGAGCAGTGGGGTGAGGGATTTAAGAGAACTGTTTATACTATTTTTGCAACTTTTTTGATGAATCTAATTAGTCTAAAATAAAAAGTCTCAACAATTTTTAAATCTTTTGGGGCACCTGGGTGGCTCAGTCGGTTAGACATCCGACTTCAGCTCAGGTCATGATCTCGCGGTTTGTGGGTGCAAGCACCGTGTGGGGCTCTGTGCAGACAGCTAGGAGCCTGGAGCCTGCCTTGGGTTCTGTGTCTCCCTTTCTCTCTGCTCCTACCCCACTCATGCTCTCGCTCTGTCTCTCAAAAATAAATAAACATTAACAAAAAATTTTTAAAAATTAAAATCTTTTGCTGTTTAAAAGATACCGTTAAGAAAATGTAGACAGTCCCCAAACTGGGAAACACAGTTCCAAAACATATGTTTGAGAAAAGAATTCTATCCAGAATATATCAAGAACTCTTACAATGCAGTAATAGGACAACAGACCAATTAAAAAATAGGCCAAATGCTTTTTGCCCAGAGTCTGACCCAATTGTAGGAAGAGCACGACAGTGTCCAGAGGCTCATACTCTGGACTTTCTAGTCATAGTACGATGAAGTAGAGCCCCTGGGAGATTGAGAGTTGGGGGAGTTTATGGAGAGCAGGGAGATCTCATAAAGTTACATTTGATGTCCTAGACTCTTACGCTGCACATGGTTGGAACTAATTAGAAACAGCGTATCAAAGGCTTTGAAAACTGAACTATAATCATCTAGCTTCCAAATTGGCCCCTGTGGTGTGTACATGTGGTAATACTACAAAGGCTTTAAAAATTAAACTAACATTGGGACCATAGAAGGAGAACTGGGACATGTGCCCTGAACCTAACCAGAGTGCTTGCCTGCTGAAACACAGCATTCTCTAGAGGATTTTAACAGGGCCCAGGGTTTATAGCACAGTATTCCAAATGTCCAGGATATAATCCAAAATGATCTCACAAAAAATTAGGAAATTCTTAAGAACTTATAAAAGACAGTAGTTATCAGCCCCACAATGAAGTAAGTGTTGGAATTATCAAAGAATTTAGAGCATTTGTTATAACTATATGCCGTGAAGTAAACGGGAATGTTCTTGAAACAAATGAAATGTTTTAAGTTCTCAGCAAGGAAATAGAAGCTGTAGAAAAATGGAATATTTTTGGTGAAGTTTTGGGGTGGTGGGGGTCTGGAGCCAATGACCAAGAAAGAATTCTTGAGACTTCTTTGGTGCAAAAAGGTGATTTTATTAAAGCACGGAGACAGGACTCTGGGCAGGAAGTATGCACTGCAAGTGTGGGAGGTGACCGTTTTATGTGGGGGGAGGTAGGAGATAAAGTCAAGAGGGAGTTTCCAAAGAGACTTTCACGTGCTAAAGACTTACTAGAGGCCTAGCTATTGTCAAACTAAGGTTGTTTTTCCCTCTAGCAAAGCATTAACATTAAGATAGTAGGGAGTTCCTGGACTTTAGGACATTGATGGGATTGCCTTTTTCTGGTAAACTGTTGGATACTTATTTGTTTTTTGTCATTTCCTGTTTTTGGGTAGCTGGGAGCTACTGATCAATTTGGGAAGTAATGTCATTTTAACAAAATTGCAGTATTACAATATTATATATAACATGTTGTAATTATATTACAGTGTATCTTTCCACTTATTTAGATCTTTTAAAAATGAACGATGTTTTGTACTTTTCAGTGTACAAGTCTTGTACTTTTTTGCTAAATTTATTCCTAAATGTTTTGTTGTTTTTGATGCTATCATAAGTGAAATTGTTTTCTTAACTTAATTTTCAGATTGTTCATTGCTAGTGTATAGAAATATAATTGATATTTTATATTGACCTTATATCCTACCACATTGCTTATTAACTCTACTTGGGATTTATTTTGTTGTTGTTTGTGGATTCGTTAGGATTTTCTTTATACGAGATAATATCATCTATAAGTAGAGATAGTTTTACTTCTTCCTTTTGTTTCTTGTTCTTGCCTAATTGTCCTGTTCAGAATATCCAGTATCATGTTGAATGGAAGTGACAAGAGGTGACATCCTTGTCTCCTTCCTGTACTTAGAGGGGAAACTTTCAGGCTTTCACCATTAAATGTGATAATAGCTGTGGGTTTTCATAGATTCCCCTTTATCAAGTTGAGTAAGTTCTCTTTAATTCATAGTCTCTTGTGTATTTTTATCACAAAAGGGGTTGGGTTTTTGTCATATACGTCTTCTGTGTCTATTGAGATTAATGTATATGGGTTTGTATTTGTTTTACTTTTCTATTTTTTTTAGGATTGATTTTTATTCTATTACTATGATATATTCGTTGACTTTTATATGTTGAGCCAACCTTCCATTCCTACTTATCTTCCCTCCCTCTGGTTACTCATTTAGTATTCCCTGACTTGATGAATACCATCTAAGCCATCCAGATGCTCAAGCCAGAAGCCCAAGAGTCATCTTAGACCTTTCTTTCTCCCCACTCACTACATCCAATCAGTTGATTCTGTCCTAATACCCTCCTAACTTTTCCCACTTTCAACTCATCCTTGACTGTGAGGCCAGGAGTGATTTTTTTTCTCCTAAAGATGAATCTCATAACCTAAATCTATTTGTAGAAAAATTTATGAAGGAGAAATTTGTATTTACTTCGTGCCTCCTGCTCATGTACATAAACCATTACCAACTGTATGGTCTTTGTCTTATTTTTAAAGACTCAGACTACTTTCTGTGAACTATGGGTGACTTTTCTGTTTTTTGAAATGATATTTGTGCTATAGTAACCAAAACTATGGTATTGGTATAAAAACAGACACATAGATCAGTGACGCAAAATTGAGAGCCCAGGAATAAACCCACACGTGTATGGACATTTAGTTTATGGCAGTGGAGCCAAGAGCATAAAATGGAGAAAGGACAGTCTCTTCAAAAGATGGTGTTGGGAAAACTGGACAGCCACATGCGAAAGAATGAAACTAGACCACTATCTTATAGTGTACCCCAAAATTAACTCAAAATGGATTTAAAACTTGAACATAAGACCTGAAACCATAAAGCTTCTAGAAGAAAACAGGTGGCAAGATCCTTGACATCAGTCTTAGCAATGTATTTGTGGATCTAACTCCAAAGACAAGGGAATCAAAGGCAAAAGCAAACAAATTGAGGGACACTTGGGTGGCTCAGTTGGTTAAGTGTCTGACTTTGGCTCAGGTCATGATCTTGTGGTTTGTGACTTCCAGCCTGCATCTGGCTCTGTGCTGACAGCTTGGAGCCTGGAGCCTGCTTAGGATTCTGTGTCTCCTCTCTCTCTGCCCCTTCCCTGCTAGTGCGCTCGCTCTCGCTCGCTCGCTCTCTCTCTCTCTCTGTCTGTCTCAAAAATAAATAAACCTTAAAAAAAAAAACATATTGAAATACATCAAACTAAAAAGCCTCTGCATAGTGAAAGAAACCATCATCAAAAGGAAAAGGCAACCTACTAAATGGGAGAAGATATTTGCAAATTACATATTTGCCAAGGGGTTAATATCCAAAATATATTAAAAAATTCCTACAACTTAACAAAAAACAGCTCAAATAAAAAAATGACCAGAGGATCTGCATAGGCATTTTTCTAAAGGAGACCTATAAATGGCTAACAGACACATGAAAACCTGTTCAGCATCACTAATTATTAGGGAAATGCAAACCAAAACTATAATAAGATATCACCTCATATGGGTTAGATTGGCTGTCATCAAAATGACAAGAAATAACAAGTGTTGGAGAGGGTGTGGAGAAACAGGAGCCCTCATATGTAAATAAAACCCTGGGAATATAAATTAGTGCAGCTGCTGTGTAAAACACTATGGTTATTCCTCAAAAAGTTGAGAATAGAGCTGCCATACTATCCAACAGTCCCACTACTGGACATTTATCTGAACATGAAAACATTAATACAAGAAGATATATGCAGCCTGATGTTCATTACAACATTATTTACAATAGTCAAGATATGGAAACAACCTAAATATGCATCAGTGGATGAATAGATAAAGAAGGTGTGGTATATAGACATTATGGAATACTATTCAGCCATAAAAAAGAATGAAATCAGATGTTGACAACATGGATGGACCATGAGGGTATTAAGTGAACTAAGTCAGAAGGAGAAAGTAAAAAATAGTATTACTTCACTCATATGTGGAATCTAAAAAAATAAAATATAACAAATAAAAACAAACTCATAGACACAAACAGATTGGTGGTTACTACAAGAGTAGGCGGTTGAGGGGTGGGTGAAGTGGGTGAAGGGAGTCAAATGTATGGTAATAGATGATAACTAGACTTTTGGAGGTGATCACTTTGAGATGAACACAGATATTTAATTAAAATGTTATATAATTAAAACTTATATACCAATTTTACTTCAATTAAAAATGAGGTTTATAGGGGCGCCTGGGTGGCGCAGTCAGTTAAGCGTCCGACTTCAGCCAGGTCACGATCTCGCGGTCCGTGGGTTCAAGCCCCGCGTCAGGCTCTGGGCTGATGGCTCGGAGCCTGGAGCCTGTTTCCGATTCTGTGTCTCCCTCTCTCTCTGCCCCTCCCCCGTTCATGCTCTGTCTCTCTCTGTCCCAAAAAAAATAAACGTTGAAAAAAAAAAAATGAGGTTTATAATTTATTACCATAGGAGTGTTACTAAGTGCTATTTTTGGATGCTAAGATTTTGTGTAATGTCATGTAATAAAAGTAAAATAGGAGAGAGGGCTTAAAAACAGATGAATACCAAAAGAGAAAGTGGCATGTGGTAAGGCTGCTACTAATTTGTTGCTGTGGTGCAATTGATCCATTGTGAGAATTCTTTTCTTGCAAAGTTTACACACATTATATCATATTACAGAGATTTTGAAGTCTATCATCATCTGGTCATAACATACATATACTAGTCAAGTAATAACTCAGTATGGATTTTTGTAGAAGTTATTTTATTTTATTTAAAATTTTTTTAAATATTTATTTTTGAAAGAGAAGGAACATGAGCAGGGGAGGGGCAGAGAGAGAGGGAGACACAGAATCAGAGGCAGGCTCCAGGCTCTGAGCTGTCAGCACAGAGTTCTGAAGCGGGGCTCGAACTCAACAAATTGTGAGATCTTGACCCGAGCTGAGGTTTGACATTTAACCAACTGAGCCACCCAGGCACCCCTAGAAGTTACTTTAATTTTTTTTTTTTTTTTGACATTTACTTGTTTTTGAGAGACAGAGTGAGACAGAGCATGAGCGAGGGAGGGGTAGAGAGAGAAGGAGACACAGAATCCCAAGCAGGCTCCAGGCTCCAGGCTCCGAGCAAGCATTCAGCACAGAGCCTGACGCGGGGCTCAACCTCACAAACCGTGAGATCATGACCTGAGCTGAAGTCGGACACTTAACTGACTGAGCCACCCAGGTACCCCCACTAGAAGTTATTTTAAATCCAAATTATATTAAATGGATAAAGTCTAAATTTTGCATTTGTGTATATAAAGTTTATATATATCAAATATAAAAGCTCTATAAACAGTTTTAAGCCAGTTTATTTATTTATTTATTTTGCAGCCTTGCATTGCATCCTGAACGAGTATTGGTAGCAACGGGACAAGTTGGGAAAGAGCCTTATATCTGTGTTTGGGATTCATACACTGTGCAGACCATATCAATTCTAAAGGATGCTCATACACATGGTATAGCTTGTTTAGCATTCGACTTAGACGGGCAGGTATGTGATTTTTTTTCTCTTTTTCTAAACTACATCTTATAAACGTGTACTATAAGAAGTGATTACAAATCTATAAATATTAAATTGGAAAGCAATTGATGAAAAGTACCTGTTTGTTCAAGGGTGGAGGTACATTGGGTGGATAGTTGATGAATATAATAAAAATAAGAACAATAAGTGGTCTTTATTTCACATATCACAAACTTTTTAATTGAATTAATACTATTATAAAAGCCAAAGAGATTCTGACTCAGTAGAATATTACCTAATTGTCCTAGAAATTTTACATATAACTTTTCCAGGTAGTGTATGTTGATAAGACAGATGAAAGACGTCTTAGGAAGACATCTTAGGAAAACTAAGTTTCTCTAAGTAGAGCTGTATACATTTTAATTTTCAGTTATTTTAAAGGTTTCTGTTGAAGTTACATTTTTTATTGAAAATAAGGAGGTTGTTCCTATAAGAGC